CAGAAAAATCATCGCAAAAATATCTGAAAAGAGCGTTTTCTGAGGAAAAGCGACTTTTCCGGAAAAATGATGGGTGATTTGAAAAATCTGATTGTGAGATCATATTTGAATTCAACAGATCAAAATACAAAGGAATCGATGTATCGCATATCGGAGACATTTATACAATGAATATTGAATAGGTACACTTCGATTCGACAAAGCTTTTACAATACACAATTTTATGCCCCGAAAACTCGACTTTACCGGAAATCTGAAGAGTGATAGAAAGAAACCGTGGTGATATTCGGATTTAGCAGCTCAAAGTACATAAGTAACGTACCACCACGGGCCAGGAAAATTTATAAATATAAATTGCATGCACGACAAATATACGTCGGATTTGCTCATTTCCCGGGAAAAAGTTGCTTTCCCGGAAAACTGAGAGGTGAACGGGAAAAATGAAGGTCATTTTTTGACTCATCAGTTAAAAGACATCGGCTTAATTGAATCTCGTAGCTACGAAAAATTTTACCTACATTCTGCAGGGGATAACAGTCAAAAAAACACCTAAAATGCCCAAAAATGATCATTTTCCCGAGTAAAATCGGCTTTTCCGGAAAATTTGAGGGTGATGGAAAAAAACGGAGGTCATATTCGGATTCAGCGCCTTAGAATACGTAAGTATGACCTTATTTTGAATGACAGGCATGCTGAAAAATATGCTTTTTCGATGTTTTAGAACCGTCCACGCACAAATCATGCAAAAACCGCTAGTGTCCAGTTTACTGCTAGAAGTTTTGTGATGAAACTTATTTTAAGCACCGCAATGGACCACCAGACAAGGTACGAATTTCAGCATTCTGATACATGTTTCGTAATTAAAATTTCACACAGAACACGATGCGCACGAAAAAAATTACCGCAGTTAACTCCTTATGGAGATAAATATTGATTCTTGATGCGTGAATTTAAACCACCCGCTCATGAAAACTCAATGCTCTACGTGATTCACATCCCGCGCTAAACGTTATCATGACAGTCTCTGCGATATAAAAATCTGGCAACCTCAATCTTGACGCTTTGGCTCAGCTATAGCTAATTGCTAATAGTTTGAACAACACATGGTGGGAAATTAACATTGCTCGATTGAGAAGCTTGCTGAAACCGTTGTAATGCGCGATTTGACTCACGTAGAGCTTTGAGTTTCTTGTGAGCGGGCAGTTCAAATTCCTCGTAACCAATATGAAATAAAAACGTTAATATCTTTGTTAGGAGTTGGTTTCAGTAATTTTCGTTGTGTGAATCGTGTTCTACGTGAAATTCTAGTTGAGAAACATGTATCAGATTGCTTAAATTCGTACCTTGTCTAGTGGTCCATTGTCTGGAATTTTATTTTTTTAACTTTAAGTTAATGATAATCTACCGCTTTAACATCTTTAGAGTGAATTTTGAAAATATGAAACGGCTCCAAAACTCGGCGATTATTACGTATCGTGCGAAAACCGCTTATGTTCAGAGTCCTTTCTTTTTATTTACTCCATCCAAGACAGAAGAGGAGCTCGAAACTGTTAGGGATCCTTCTCTACAATCCACTCTTGTAATAATCAACTTCTGAACATTTTTAAATCCCGCATTTAAAAGGCTTCTACAGTTTTTTGCAGTTTACTCAAAATAAGAGAAAATGGACATTAGCAGTTTTTGCATGAGCCGATTCATTTGTTGATGTGTCCATAGAAAGGATTACATGGGTTCATGATGGAGCCCTCTTCAAAATCGTTCAAATAAATTTGGGCGATAGTGCTAGAGAGTGGAGCTCCCATAGCAAGCCTTTACAAGCACAGTAATGTTCACCATTATAAGAAAAATAATTGTGGCGTAAAATAGCAGGTAGCATGCAAATAATTTGGTCGGTTTTAGTTTTTGTTTCATTCTTAGACTCAATTGGCTTAGCTGTAACAATATCAATTGCTTCATTCCCTGAAATATTAGTATACATGTTTGTAATATCGAGATAGAACACTTTTTCTCCTTTGTTCAGCTTATATCCATATAAATTGTTTGCCCGTATGATGCTGCCCCTAGTGGTTAGAAACTCAACTATTGTCAAGGTTTTTGTTTTGATATCATTCACTTTAAGGTTATACACCAATGTGTTCTGCATGTCGCACGCCTTTGCTTGTAAAAAATGTAGTTGCTTATTGGTAGTTAGTGCTTGTATCTGTATTTTTATGCTTTATGTAGTTTCATGCTCTTTTGTCATTCTGTACCCTGGTGATGACTGGGTGTGGTCGAAAAGCTTCGGCTAAGCAAAATATAATATTCACATAATAAACTATCACAGCATAAGGCAATTCTGCTGCTCTTTTTTATTAATTTAATTAATGCTGTTATCCGCACGATGTTTGATATTGTGACTTACTTGTACGAAGAGAGATGCATTAGAGTCAAAGGTTTTCTGGCAGCCAAAACCTCACATCGAGAGTAAGTGAAGGTATGCACTAGTTTGAGTACTTATGAACTCATCGATGAACCTACATACTCTCAGGGACACACCAACTGTGAACAAACAAAATATTCTTGAATATCTTAGCAATAAATGAGGGTACCGGAAAGTGGCATTGTTCAAATGCAAAAGACGTCTTGAAAAGAGTAAAAGGAGGTTTTAAATGGAATAAGGGAGGGCCAACTCCCTGAGGAGAACGGGAAACGTGGGCAAAAAACTGTAAAAAGCCCTGATTTTGAAGCTACTTTTCAGTGTGCCGCTTGTCAGCGCGATTAATGTTTAAGTTAGAATTAAGTTAGGGAATGTTAAGTCAATGAACTAGAGCTACTCTTAAAACTCAAAGAAAGCTACGAAACTGTGGACCCCGACATCGATGGAGTTCCCAAAGATATTGAAGAGGAAGATTTTGCCGAATTGCAGAATAGAAATCAAAACCCGGAACTATTTGGTAAATGCCGTATCTAATTCAGCCCTTGACCTTATTAGACATGAGAACAACGCGAAAGAAATGCTGTCCAAATTAGATGACACATATCGACGGTGAAACTACCAAACCACGTATCTCGTTTGCGGTGTTTAAAAATCTACGCTCACATTCTATTTTTTTGAAGTAGACTAAATCAATATCATTCCTTGAAATTTTCACGGAATTTTCTCTGCACAAAGAGGAAAAATCACAGAAATTTTCAAGACTGGATGTTAAGTAGTTTTTCATTTAAAAAATAAAGTATGACAGGAAGTCTGCGACGTCGCAAACCGAGATACGTGGTTTGGTAGTTTCACCGTCGATATGCCACATAATACCTCCATGAAATTGATGATTAAGAGGAAACTGCTCGAGACTGTGTTTGATCCTGAAGATCCCACTACTTTTTTCAAAAGTTTTGAGAAAAACATCACTGACCTCAAGAATTCCGGTGAAAACGTCAGCGATGAAGATCATCTCAATTATCTCTTGTTAATCCTTCCCGATTCTATGTCTCAATTGCATGACATTGTTGATGCCTTGCCAGTTGCTCAGCGCAAAGCTGATTTGGTGAAAAAGAAGATAATTATCTATTTTGAAAAGAAATCAAGTGATTCCAGCCTTTGCTAAGTGATAACTTTAAAGCCCTTAATCTCCAAGCCCACAAGCCAAACCGAGGGAACTCTAGTATTAACCGTTCCTACAACCGTGGAAGAAGTCGTGGATTCAGCAGAAGATCGTGGGTGCGAAGCAACAACTCTTGTAATCGCTGTGGTGGCACAGGACATTATGTTAACGTCTGTTCAAGCTACAGTAACAACCAAGGTGGTTTTTCTTCAAGAGGACATCCGAGGAACAATCGTGGCTCAAGAGATTCAGGCGACTTCAATCGTTGGCATGGAAGTTACCGCAGCAGAAGATACAATGCAAGAAGACCCAGCAGAGGTTTCAACGAAAGCAACGCAGCTTCAACGTCTGGTAATTACTACTACTCTCCAAACGATGAAGATACCTTGAACAGCGGGAATTGCTACGTAACTTCAACTTCTAGTTCCGTAAGTCTCGTATTTGCAAGCCATTTTTCTAATTCAAATCTATTTGTTGAATTCATTTTACACAGTGGGTATAGCGACCATACAGGGTGAGCGAAAAGTCCCCGACCTCCCCCCCCCTCTAACTTTTGAACGAATTAAGCTAGGGAAATGAAACTTTGGGAATGTTCCTATCTCAAAGGGGACCATCTTTTGAGGGGGTCAAAATTTTGGTCCCCCCCAACTTCTTTTTTTCAAATAGCAACCCCTATCTTGTGATACCTCATTCGAAAGAGCATAAAAAACTAAGAATTTTGGCGCAAACCGCAGATCAATATCTCAATTTTTGACCGAGTTATGATAGGTCAAAGGTCAAATTTGACCTGTTTTCAAAAATCATAACTCCGGTTCAAATTATCGTAAAGAAAAAAATAAAACGGGAAAATTTACCAAATTGTGTTCACTTTTACGTAAAAATTGCAGAAATCACTTCGATTTAGTTTTAAGGGTGGCTCGGACCCCCAAATACGTCAATTCAAAGGTCATATTTCGTTTTTTTATTTTTTCCCGAAATTTGGGGACTTGTCAACGTAATGTTGAACTGATTTTGACCTTACTGAGATAATGTGGAGGCAAATCCAGAGGAAATTGGCTTATTTCGCGGGAAACTTGAATGACCTTTGATTTGACGTATTTGGGGGTCCGAGCCCCCCTTAAAATCAAATCGAAGTGATTTCTGCAATTTTTACGTAAAAGTGAACACAATTTGGTAAATTTTCCCGTTTTATTTTTTTCTTTACGATAATTTGAACCGGAGTTAAGATTTTTTGAAAATAGGTCAAATTTGACCTTTGACCTATCATAACTCGGTCAAAAATTGAGATATTGATCTGCGGTTTGCGCCAAAATTCTTAGTTTTTTATGCTCTTTCGAATGAGGTATCACAAGATAGGGGTTGCTATTTGAAAAAAAGAAGTTGGGGGGGCCCTGTCCCCCCCTGAGGGGGGGACCAACATCTTGACCCCCTCAAAAGATGGTCCCCTTTAAGATAGGAACATTCCCAAAGTTTCATTTCCTTAGCTCAATTCGTTCAAAAGGGGGGGGGGGGGTCGTTGACTTTTCGCTCACCCTGTATTGTAAATGATGAATCACTTCTTACAGAACTTTCCTATCTCGAAAACCTCCTCGAAATTAAGGTAGCTGATGGCATTATATTAAAGGCTGAAAAACTAGGTAAGATGTCTGTCTTTTATAATGTCTCTGTAAATTAATCAAAACTGAATTCAATAATGTTTTTATGTGCCAGAAATGAAACGTGATTTATTAAGCGTATCAAGCATTAGCGACAATGGTTACCATGTAGTTTTTTTGGATGACTGCGCTAAAATTTACAATACTTTAAACGAAATTACCTTAATTGCTCTTAGAAGTGAAAACTTGTATAAACTGATAAGTTCAGTCAATTGTAATGGTGCCACGGGAATTGAAGTCAACACAGTTGATGTGAGTAACACTACAAATGGCAACGCGCATTGGGTGACATAAACTTTCACGATCTTAGAGAACTTGTAAAAAAATTAGCTGGTGGTTTGTGGAGGGGTCGCTTAGGGTCAAAAATCACCCGAATAGTTCAAATTAGGCTACCAGCATGCAACTTGGTGAAAATGTAGTTTGAGGTACCTACTCGTAGAACCGAATTCCATCGGAACACAAGCTGGAACTCCCACGTTTCCCCGTATTTTGGCCGCCATTTTCCAAGATAGCCGCCATAAGTTGATTTCAATTATTATCTCATTTTTCAGACGTTCTAACCTAAACATGGTACCTATTAACATGAAATTTGGAAGGAATATATTTAAGTGTGTCTAGAATGAGAAAAAATTGACATTCAAGTCCAGTCGGCCATATTACCCCATCTATTGGAGGCCATTTTGAAAATTAGCGGTTTAGCGCCGTCTCTCCCGGGTATATCAGATTTTCGCGGCTAAATTGCAATGAGATGCTTGAAATTTGGCAGGGATATGCATAAAAATGTTGAGAACAAAAATCTATCGAGACCTAAGTTCAGTCGGCCATTTTTACCCAGGCTAAAGGCCGCCATCTTGGAAGTTAACAGCCCATTCCTGCCTCTCCACAGTTTCTTAGATTTGCGCGGCTGTTTTGCAGCTGCAAAACAGCCCTCTGATAATACTGATACATCTATCAACTAAAAAAATTTAATTGGCGCTTTACTTTGTATAGCAAACTAGCCGTAATTAGCTCGCTTCGCGAGCTGACACGCCTAGCCGAGGAGTGCCCTTGGACCCCCACTTCTTCGCTTCGCGATGAACTTGCCACTCGCTCTGCGAGCCGCCACCGCTCCACATAGTTTTTAACATCGATGAGAAGACAACATTTTCGACTTCATCTTCCTTTACACCAAGTTTTATGAAAATTGATGTTCTAGGAACAGGGACAGCGTTAAATAGCGGGGCCACCATCTTGGATTTTGAAATGATAAAAATCTGCCCAAAAATTGACCCGATGAAAAATACCCCCTGATATCGAATTTCACGAAAATCGATCAAAAAGAAGCCAAGAAATCATATTAGGCTACGGCTGCCATCGTGGATTTTTGAATTTAGAAAATCTGACCAAAAATTTGAGTTTCGCGTCGAAATATACCCTCCGATACCGAAATTCAGTAAAATCGATGGATCAAGAGCCGAGATAGCATTTTACACCATTCGCCATCTTCGGTTTTGGAAAATCTGACCAAACATTCGAGTTTCCCATTGAAAAATACCCCCGGATAACGAGTTTCACGCAAATCGATCGAGCAGGGGTCGACTTAGCAGTTCAGGTCACGGCCGCCATCATGGATTTTGAAATTGTGAAAATCTGACCGAAAATTCGAGTTTCTCGTAAAAATATACCCAGTAATACCGAATTTCCCTAAAATCGATGTATCAGGAGGCGGCTTAGCATTTTAGGCCATCTTCGATTTTTGAATTTTGAAAATATGACCAAACAATCGAGTTTCCTGTCGAAAAATACCCCCGGATACCGAGTTGCACGAAAATCGGTCGAACAGGAGTCGACTTACGTTTTAGGCCACGTCCGCCATCTTGGATTTTTGAATTTGAAAATCGAACCAAAAATTCGAGTTTGTCGTTGAAATATACCACCTAATACCGAATTTATCAAACCTGGATGGATCAGGAGCCGATATAGCATTTTAGACCACGTTCGCCATGTTTGATTTTTGAAAATCTGACAAAAAATTCGAGTTTCCCATCGAAAAATACTCCCTTAAACAGAGTTCCACGAAAATCTATCAAACAGGAGCCGACTAAGCATTTTAGGCCACAGCCGCCCTTTTAGATTTCGAAATTTTTATATCTGATCAAAAATTCGAGTTTTCCGTCGAAAAATACCCCCGGATACCGAGTTTCACGAAAATCGATTGAAGAGGAGCCGAGATAGCATTTCAGGCCAGGGCCGCTATATTGGATTCTTAAATTTTGAAAATCAGACCGAAAATTCGAGTTTCCTGTCGAAAAGTACTCCCGGATACCCAGTTTCACGCAAATCGATCGAACAGGGGTCGACAGCATTTTAGGTCACGGCCGCCATCATGGATTTGGAAATTGTAAAAATCTGACCAAAAATACGAGTGTTCCGTCGAAAGGTTCCTCCGAATCATAATTAACACAGAAATGTGTCGAAAAATACCCCCTAAAACCTGAAAATTCCTCATAAATACTGTGACGTCACGCGACAGGATTTAACCTGTTCGGCGCGGTGCGCGTAAACAACCGCGTACACCCAATGTATTACTAGAGGGAGAAACAACTTTTCGCTCTTGCGGACGACCTGGGCAACGTTTTCTTATCGGAACAATTGGACTGCATTTTGCAATTTGGAACTATACATTTTGGTCCGGTTTAAAAACAACGTACGTGCCATTAATTTCCCTCTGCACATACGTGTTTTTTCAGATGAGCCAGAATTTCTAGTTCCAAATTGCAAAATGCAGTCCAATTTTGATCGATTCACGAATTTTTATATCGATTCGTGGGTTTGTCGAACTAAACACATTCCAAAATCGGTAGGTGAGGCAGCGGACTGAGCGGAATTTGTCGGCGTCTCCGCTCCGATCTGTTGGCGACAAATCGGAGCGTCCTCCATCGGCGTTTTCCGCTGCGTCTCTCCATGGTCTCTCCGCCGCCACGATGGATCGAGTCAATGGTAGATAGTCCAGGCAAACAAGGAAAAGAGCCTGCAAAAATCCCGGGTAGCAATGTTTTCATCGATTCCTAAGTAATTTTTGGCGCTGAATCCGAATTTCAACTTTGCGCCATTAAATTCGGACCGGAAAGTTGCCAAATTTGGCAAAAATGGCCTAAAATCGGCCTTTTTTCCGGATTATGACCTGTAACTTGCTAAAAATTGATCTGACGATAAAATTAGTTATTTTCAGAAATAAAGCTCGTTAAAGTTCCTATAAAACAGTTTCTATACTTTTTT